CCGCTGAATCTTGTCCGTTACAAGTAACGTATGTAAAGTTTAGGTCTCATTTTCCCGCCTCAAGGTAATGCAGTATACAGTGCTACTGTTATATTATTAGACCTGGCAGAACATACAACAATGGCGAGATGTTCATGTGACGTTTGTGATTGCCGTTTTCACTTTCCATTGCAAAAGAGAATTAATTTACTTTTTTTACGAGAGGAAGTCAATAAGTCACATATGTCAGCATATGATAGCAACATAGAATTGTATGTCTCCGTTCGTTAGGTGATGCTAGGTGTTTCATGCGCATTCGCAACACAGCAACAAAATGGCGACTGTACTTACGGAGTGTACCTTCAAATTACAATATGCTGTTGTGCGGTTTTTTTTAGGAAAAAGGGGGGGGGGGGGGCAAAAGAGTTGTCTGAAAAGGACATTAAAAAAGACATTTCTGTTTGTGTTGACAAATGTGTATCCCGTAAAGCGGTGCATAGCTTAGTAAATAATGTTTCTCAAGGAAGCTCTATGTTGATGAAGTCCGATCCAGTCGTCCTGTTGAGGCTGCAACAGACGCACCTGTGCAGCGGGTGGAGGAGATGATCAGAGGTGACATGCGAGTAACGGTTGACTCTGTAGCAGCTGCAATAGGGTGCTCACATGGATTTTGGTCCACTGAAAACCCACCTTGGCAGAAGACATTTCGTAAATGATGCAGGAGTTGAATGTGAAGTGAAAATGTGGTTTATAAAACAGAGCACACAGTTCTATGCAGCAGATTTGGGAGGACTGATAAAACGATGGGACAAGTGCGTCAGTGTTGGTGGAAATTATGTCGAAAAACAAGGGACAGTTTATGTGTAAAAATAAACAGTTTTCAAGTTGTTATTGGCTTAAGTTTTTTATCTTCACACAACCATTTGTGACTTACTTATTGATTTGACCTCGTTCTTTTACTGTGTAATATCTATTACGAACAGGCCACTTAGTTTACGTCTCGATTACAGAGAGAAAAAAGCACTCGTTGCGTGCTAACGCCACTAATGCAGAAAATGTAAGGTGTGAAAGCTGCCAGTTAATAGTACTACAAGGCTAGCAGCACACGCAAATTCGTAACTCGAGGAGAAGAAAATATTATGTGATACCCTATCCAGTATAACTGTTATCTGCTAACGCTTACACGTGCGATTTGATCACGCGTCGTCACTGACTCAAACACCAATCCGGACTGCAGTACACCAGGCTGATGTAGATGTCATGGGTGCCCCAATCTTAACCTCCTCTGACGCTGATCGGGGTATCTGGGGTTTGGAATCTTGAATTCTCAGGGGTAAATAACTCTTCTCCAGGCAGCGGTTCAAGGTAGAAAACAAAAATTCATATGGAGATTACAACAAATGTGTCGTCAATATCGCGCGGGTTGCCATTAGGCGACCAGGAGACCTGGCAGGATCTCCCGTCTTCTGTTACTTCAACTTCTTCTCAGGGTTCGCTGGCTGTAAACTCCAGCGAAACGTCCTTGTCCTTCGTTCAGCTTCGGACTTTAGTCTTCTTTCAAAATTTGAGTTTTACATGCATATCCATTGTATAGATCTGGTTAATTTATTTGAAAAAAAAAAAAAAAAAAAAACAGCAGGTGAGCGATAACTTTTTCGTTTCGTCCTTTTTAGGATGAAATTTTTCGTTATTTGAAGCCCTATAGGCAGGCCATAAATATGGCTGAACGCGGTTTCTGGGACCTTCCACGACGATCCTCGTCCGCTTGGTGGCACTTTGTGTCATCGGGTGTTTATCGCTTGTGTGATGTCCTAGTGAGGTAGAGAGTCAGTCAGTAGAAACAGCAGGTTTCTTTCCTCTCATCTAGATGCACACCGACT